CTTTGAGCACACAAGAAGTCAATGTTCAGTTTGGCTTAGATTTGTTGGAGGATTTAAAGGTGTGCTTGTCAATCTGAGATGTTGAGGTCTTGGGTCACCATCTTTAACATAGACCAGGGGTGGGAAATGAATGAGATGGGGTGAAAGGGCAACCGCCGACATTCTTTTAGAAAATAAACAGAACAAAAACTGGCTTCTCTGGACAGGTATTCTAAAGTAGATCTATCAACCTCAGCTGGTGCAAGTTTTTGAGTTTCTAAATATGCTTAATGACACATCAGTAGACTCCCCCAACAGAACATAAATTACCTCTCTGTTCCAAAGATGCGAAGCAGGGTTTCAACCACAATCACTGCAAGCTGGCTTCATCCTCACATTTCAAAAGCCCAGTAGGGAAGGAGTTTAATGCAATTAGCAGGTTATCTGTGGTAAAATGGAGCACTCTTCCTGTTTCCAGTTGGCCTGACAGAAGGGAGGTGTAGCCGTCTGTTTCACCACAGAGGAAGACAGAGCAAAAAAAAGATGGGCAGATGTCCTAACAGAGGTAAACAACCAGGTCTATTGTTACAATGCCCAAGGTTTATTACTCAACTTGGGCTGCATTTGTCAGGTAGTGGTTGTTGATCAGCAGATGCTTGAATGATCTAAAGATTTTTGTGTTCCTAGAATGACGACAAGAAACCAAGAAAAAGAAGAAAAAGACAAGTTGACCTCTGGCATTAAGTCAAAAGCAAGTGTATTTAATGTTTGGGGCCAGCCCTACCTTTGTGTTGAATCCAGTGGTTGAATGAAAAGAAGCAATAGGGGTCACTTTAGGCATCTGCTATGCTCCGGCACTACTCAGCTGCCCATCTGTGTACCTCGCTGTCCTTCTGTTCCCTCAAACATTCTCTGCTATACACAACTAGGTTTAGGAGACACTCTCTCCAATGAATGTGCAAATGATGGCGTATAGTAGACATTTGCTTTACAGACGTTAGAGACTTTTTAGAGTCAATTTTGGCTTAAGGATGGTGTTTGGTTTTATTATGAAGGAAACTAAAGGATCTACAAAGACTAACTATGAGAGGGAGAGGAGAACAGCTGAGCCCTAAGTGGCAGAAAAGCCCCTGAGAAGAAATAAACAATGAGTTTCTTTCTTAATTTTCTTATATATCTAAGCCCTTCAGAATGGGCTTTGAATACTCATCTGCCAAGTTTGGACTCCTTACAACTCCATGCTTATGCCTGTGCTTTAACTGATGAGAACCTTGTTACAGCCAATCAACATATGCACTTCTCTTTTTGTCTCATGAAAAACATAATGTCAGGAAAATGTACCTGGGGTAAATACAAAATGTAGTTTTGATCCTTATAATGAGATGTTCTCCAACCCCCTTAGCCCAATGTAAAGAAGTAAGTGCCTTCTAACCCTAATAGCTAATTGTGACAACAACTCCCATCAAGCATTTGTGAGAACTGAGATTTCTCCTCAGCTTTTCCATGTGCTGAGGAAAAGTTTTACCTGTGGTAATTGGAAGAATTATTGACATTTCTGCCTAATTCAGCATTTGTGTTATTATTTTAAACAGGAACCTTTTTTTTTTTAAAGCCACACATTCACGCTAAAATTTAAGCATACTTTTTTACTATTTGTTGTACTTTCTCTGAATTGCTTTATGTTTTACATTTTATCTAATAGAACATAGATTTTTTTTCAAAAACTTTACATTTTTGTCTTTTGGATAGAATAGTATAGAAAAATTAATTGTCTGGTTTCTAACTTGCAGAATTTGTCTTGTTTCCATGAATATAAATGAATGTAAAATGGGCCTTTTCTCTCTATTTGATCAGCACAGTTAAAAAAATCTAAATCTAGATAAGTCATTTTTTCTTAAAATAAGTGCATTTGTTCTTGAATTGAGGAGGTAAGAGACATTTTGCCAATGGAACAAGACAATTTACATTTCAAAAAAATAATTAAAAAACAATTGAATTGTCTTATTTCAATGTTAAGTAAATGTTATCTAATTATCTTAAGAGTAAAAATACTAATTCCATTGGCAAACTATCTCATTTACCTACTCAAATTAAGGGTAAATACACTTAATTTAAGACATTTTTACTTATTTCGATAGATCGTTTTTCCAGTGCAGTGCTTTATTCACTGGAACTTTTCTATTGATGCCATTATTTTAAAATCATTTTAAAAGTATGAAAACTGACCTGGGTTGAATTTGAGGTTGACAGAGGTTGCAGAACTCCTGGATAAGACAAAACTATATGCTTAAAGTGATTTTGGTACGAAGACCACGTTAGTTTGACCAATTTTCAATATTTTTCCATTTTTATTTAATGGCTTACAATCCTCTTCACTGTAATCGTATAGACGTACAGTTAGCTAACCCTACATTTTTTCGACTTGTGTAAAATTCAGTTTGATAATCTAGAACATCGAGGTGTGACAAATTTGAAAACAAAAATCTGTGCAGCGCTAAATACTTTTTCACTGCTCTGCAGATCCATACTGTGTCTACAGTTCTCCAAACAGCAGCCTCCACACAGATGTGGGGTGTCAAGACTATTTGTGTTATACATTCCCCACATTTCTCCCTGTTCCTGATGAAAAGGACCCCTCTCGTTGCCAGTTTTGGTTAACTCTGGACTAATATATATTAGGGACGCGTTTCAAATAAACACAACACTTTCCACCCTCTCTTTCTCTTCCTTTGTGTGCGTGGAGGGACAATAAGGGAGCTGTGATGAAGAACTTTATAGGAACATTTAGCCTAAGAGTGAGGGATTGAAGCTAGTAAACAAAGCATTCCTTTCCCTTTCATCACCATTTAACTGTTCCCTTAACACTCAGCCTCACCTCCAGGCCAGTGCCCAGCAGAGCGGAGAGCTTGTCAAATAAAAATAAATCTTAAAGTAAAGGTTTATTTCCGTCGTTTACCACTTGCTTGGAAATCTGCTCATTGCACCGTTATTAACAATAAGAAATCAGTTGAGAATTCTTCATTCTTGACTCTGATTGATATGTTGGAGGGTGGGGGGTCACCTTGGATGGGCTGTTGGTCATGCTCAGGTTAATGGATGTTGTGTCAATCATTTAAAATGACTACTAAAGAGTGCACTTAGCATCTTTTGTTCCCTCAACAAATATGTGAGTAGTGACATGATACTGTACAAGAGTCTGGACAGCATATAGCATATCAAAGCAAATCCTTAATTGCTTCCAGGACAAGGTCGTTGCTTTTATGCAAGCTTTTTTTCCCCCAGTTTTCTCTTGTTTTCATCTGCAGATTGGGAAGCATTAAAGTGTTAAGTAAACTTGACCCAGCCGGGGTAGATTCATTGGGAAATAGTCAGTGTTCCTGCATTCGGTGCTGTATCAGTGACATTCAGGCTGTGGATTTCCTCCTTGTCCGATGGACACCATATGTTGATGCGGTTTCTGCAGCTGCAGTCCCTGAAACTTTCAGGCGCTCCATAATTACATTTGTTGGCTATGATGAGAGCATGTTTGCTAAAGGGTGACAACAGAATGAGTCTGATCTGAGGGCAAAGGTTGATTTGATTCAGATCAATTGAAGATCTCTTAGGAGTATGGAAAGTCTAAGCTGATCTGTCATTTTTTCCAAGAAATTTGTGGATTCCTGCAAAGTTATGTAATTTGTCTACTTATTAGTCTTGCACCTTGCAAAAGTGTTCATAACCCCTCAAGGTTGTTCAGTTTTTGTAAGAAAACATGAACACAACGTGGAATATATTTAAATGAACATAAAAGCAAAATAATAAACTTTTATAAGGCTTCTTACAAAACAAAATCTGGGATGTGCAGCATGCATAATTATGTTGCTAACTCTAAATAAAATCAACTGAAAACCTTTTGTGTTCAGAAATGTCTATTTAATAAATCAGTTTAATGCAGTGTCAGTAACATGGCAAACCCGGTCAGGGAGATATTGTGCAGACGTTTTTTAAGGAAAGTTAGTTTATAGAAAATAAAAAGTTCAATATTTAAACATCTCAGACCAATATTGAATCCATCTGGACAGCTGTAGGCCTACCAAAGCATGGGTATCCACCGAAACTGACAGGGCTGGCGTGGAACACATTAAACAAAGAAGCAGCCTGGGGGCCAATAGTAACTCTGGAGGAGCTGAGGAGAAGTATTAGTCTTTCACTACACAAATCTGGCCTTTCGGAAAAAAGAAAGTGATTGCTGAAAGAATCAATAAGAAATCCAATTTGCAGTTCCCTACAAGCCATAAGCCGAACACAACAAAGATGTGGATGGCCACAATTAAACATTTGCAGCCTAAATGGCTGTGTAGAGTACATCACCTGTGAACACCATCCCTATTCTGAAACAGGGTGATAGCTGCATCATGCTATGGGAATAGTTGTTTTTTTTGTTGACGAGATCAGGGAAGCTGGTCACGTTTATGGAAAGATGGAGGGATGTAAGTATAGCACATTGACAAAGACCTACACTGAAGGGTTAGATCAAAGAGAAATTTGTATTGAAATCATTGACGAAATAAGCAATCTAAATTCTCAGGTGCAGTCTCCTCTTTGTTTTTCTTTTGCAAGAAGCAGTGATACCAACTCTCTGTTTACCACACATGTATAAAAGCTATAAAAATCCCGATATAGTTTAAATTTGGTTCTTTTACCTAATCTACTCCTGCTCCCCACTGTTTCACCAAAGTCAACTAACCGCATACCCCAATAGGAATCCACCTATGTTTAGAAATGCCCCTTATTAGTTCAAACCCAGATATGATTATATATCTTCTGCAAAGCCAATCTAACCAAACTTGATCTATTTTAATAGCATATAAAATTACTCTTTAGATGGCACATCCCAAACAACTGAACTACTGAAGTGCACTCATTTACTCAGTGGATGCTAAATACGGTTGCAGCTTTTTAGTTTTATTTCTATATTATGACAAAAAAAATAAATGTAGCTTTCATTCTAATTTGTTCTTATCTTTCTCATAAAACTCCCATTAAACACAATAATAGTTTTAATTTTGACAAAATGTGAACACAAAAGGTATTTTTCATGGAACCGTAAAAGGCAATGGCAAAAATTTATCCTGAAACATTAAAAGCACTCAACATTTTGGCAAATTTCCAAATGTTTTGAATGAATTAAACACAGAAAAGGCATAACTCACCAGACATTCCAGACTTTGTTTGGAATTTTATTTGTACAGTAATGGTGTGGAGTAGTATCCAGTTATATATGTATATAAATGATCTTATATATATATCATTGCAAAAGCTCTTTACACTTTAACTGAACGCACCTCAAACTCAGAACCTATATGCAATAATGAGGTAGATAGATATTAATAATGGTACTTTCCACCCTCTGCAAAAATATTGAAGACACCTTAAATTACTCTTTTCGACGTAAGAAATATATGATTATCATGGAACTCTGTACATCACAAATAATAAAATAATTATAGAATAGAAATCTTTACCGATTTGAGTGCCCTTTTGTACATTTACAAAGAAATGCCGTTTGCGCATATCCTCATTTGTAGCACTTTGTAAAGTTTTTTTCTTTTTTTCTTTGACTGTACAAATATTTACAACTTAGAGATAAAGAGAGAAAACATAACGAACAGCAGTGCATTCAAAGCTAATGTGCATTTAAATATCGTCTCGTTTGGTGAGTCTTTACATTTTCTCCTTGCCCACTTGTCCACGCATGGCGCAGGAAGTCGTGGAAGTGCATTGCGTAAAGATGCAGACTTTTGAGCGTAAAATCCGAGCCAGATATGTGTGCTTTTCGAAAGAAATCTTCCCGTTTTCACGCGTCAGGGGCCCAGGTGATGCACAGGTCTTATCTGGGTCCTTTCAACTGTTCTCTTGTAAGGCAACCCCCCCACCCCCTCCCAAAAAAATACAAACAAACAATCAAAAAAATCTCTTGAAGGCATCACCATCACCACCTTTCTTCCTCGCTAAGTGATCCAATCTTTTCTTTTTTAATGTTTGGTACATTAGACATTCACCTCATGTATTTAATAATCTACTTTTTGGTGAAAGCAGGTTCTGATTGGCTCCAGTTGGATAGTGCCGCGCTCATGGGCCCACTCCAGGTAAGTCCAGCCTCTGTAGCTGACAGGATTCTCACTGGCCGTCCAGATGGCGCACCTGGAAGCAGACTCCTCTGTGGCCTGCAGCCAGAGCGTGCTCTATGTCTGTTCACAGATTTGTGCCTAACAACCCGGACACCTCGCCCTGGTCTTTGCATGGACAAGAACAAATGTGCGGGACATTTTTTGTATGAATTAGTCAAAATAAATAAGATGATGGAGGGTACTTTGAGCGCATCTTCAGACCCTGTGAGGAGAGGATAGTTCAGTCCAGGAGCCATCAGGATTTCACTTTAAACAAATGAGTTTTTTTTCTCATTTGTTTTATCAGCATTAAATTAAATTAAATGACCGCTACCTGCAGCCACACTGCTCCACAATCATCTCCTCATACTGCTTGTACACCACGTTGTTTCCCGCGTCTGTAAACAGGATGCTGATGGGGCTGAGTTTAGTGGGCACACAGCAGCTCGGTGGGGTGCTGTTTGGGTCCATGGAGTTCATGAGGGTCTGGATGATGGCGTGGTTGGTGGGCTCCAGGTGCGACCTAAGCGGGAAGTCGCACACGCCCTCGCAGTGGTGGGCCTCGTAGCCCAGCGGGGCGATGATCCAATCGTCCCAGCCGAGCTCCTTGAAGTTCACATACAGAGCTTTTTTGCTGCACCTGTACTTGGATTTCTTTCCGTGCCTCTTCCCGTGCCGGTTGCTCTGCGCCGTCCTTCTGCGCCGCCGGGGGCCCTCTCCCGTACCCCCCTTCATCGGCTTCTCTTCAACCGACCTTCGCGACTTGATCTTCTCCTTCATCTCGTTAAACAGGTTCTCTCTCTTCTTGGAGCGGGTGTAAGCGACCAAGATGGCCTTCTCCTGCTGGCCGCGGCCGCCCCTGTCCAGCCCCAGCCGCCTCAGGTCCACCTCTGTGTCAGATTTACTGAGAACGGCCCTGAGCTGGAAGCAGAGCTGATTTCTCTGTTGGTGTTGTGTCTGAAATGCATGCCACACGTCCAAAACCTCCCAGCCGGCTTTATTGGAATCCATGGGGTCCAAATACCTGGAGTCCAGCAGTGTGTCGGAGCGACATGGATAGAGCTGGATGTGGAGGGGTCCATCCGTCTGCGGGGCCCCCGATGCTCTCCTGAATATCCTTAATTCTGCTCCGACCAGCTCCTCTTTCTCCGAAAGGGTGGAAACATCAAACAGATACTTCTGTCTTCTCAAAGAGGAGTGCAAAAGATTGTCTGCAAGGAGAAAGGAGAAAAATAATTGCAGTCAGATTCACTTAGAGTGTACAGTGTTCAGCGAGAGAAGAGAGGAGGGGGTCATTTTCTCCCACAGAGGCCTTCTCTCTCTTTCTTGTTTTTCAAATGTTCACCAATGAGCCCGCCTCAAACAAACTGCAGCTGACAAGGCCTCTGTTCGGAGGAGAAAGACAAAACCCCCACGCGGACATTAAAGAAGTAGGCCCGTGATTCATGTTTCTCTCTATTTTATAACTCACATCCGCTGTTATTATAAATGGATCAGCATCAAGGCCTTGCTTTTACTTTTTTATAGAGAAATAAACAGACACACGAAGCGCCTGCTGCCCTGCAGTAAATATTGGATCGCATCTATTCAGTGGCACGGGAAGGGGGGTGCTGCGGGGGCTGCAGCCTCCCTCGTCAAAGCATCAGCCCCCCCATTGTGGGGGGCTGTGGAGTAACATAATATTGTACTTAAAAACATGAAATTATTTATGTATTTATTTTTTAAAGACTGTGTTTGATATGGGATAAAAATAATGGGCTGTGTATAAGATATAAACTAATGATTCATTATTTTAATATTTCATAAAAAACTAGGCTTCTCCCCCGGAAGTGCTTCCGCCACCTCACAATCATTTAGGCATGGCTAGCAATAGGCAGCAGAAACATATTTCTGACTATTTCGAGGTAAGAAATGGTTTTAATTCCGCCGAGCATTTATTTAGCGTTATTTATTTCTTATTTATTTCTATATGCTGTGCCGTTTGTCGTAGTCCTGTGGCTGAAGAAGTCTACGCTAGAATAAGGCTGCATATCACTAAATATTATGTCTGTATTAAGCTAATTACTGATAAAATATGAAATTAGTTTTTTTTTTTTTGTGTGTGTGTGTTTTTTGTTTCAGATATGAAATCATTCCCCATATCCATAGTCGAATGGACTTTCAAGACGTTCAATGCTCAGTTTAGGCTATATTTAGGCCATGTTTCATTCAAGTATTCCTGATCCTGTTGATTGGGAGCTGTTGTTTGTTTTGAATTATTAAAAGAGAAGAAATAAAGTTTAAAATGTTCATGCTTTGTTCCAATTTATTTTAAATGGAAGTTCTCTGCGACAAATGTAGGCCTACAATATTATGTTAAAAACATCAGCCACAGCCTTCAACATAATGATGTCATGTGTTTTCCAACCCAGCCATCAGCCCCCCTCGCTTGAAACAGCTTCCAGCGCGCCTGCATCTATTGCGCGCATTGCGCATGGATGGCCTTTATTTCCCTTTCGAATAAATCCAGCTTTTCATGTCAGAAATCCACAACAAACACTGATGCAGATGCAGTCCGTTAATACATTTCAACTGCGCTCACATATTTACTCAAATGCACGCGTTTGAATGTGGAGTTACCGTTCAAAAACGCTGGGAAGGATTGAACCAAGCATAGGATTTTGCAGGTGAAAGGCATAAGGACGGATTACATTTCAAACACCCCACAAAAAAAAAGAAAAGAAAAAAAAGAAAAAAAAATTTTTTTTTATCATGCTGGTTATCATTTTATAAAGCGCAAAATCCACCCAGAGCGTTTATGGGTAGTGTTAAAAATGACTATCATAATGAGTTTACTGTTTTTAATGGTAAAATGTTCTTTCTTGCAGCAATAATTTCACTTCATAAGAGTAGCTACCAATCTACAGTGTATATATATATTTTTTCAGGGTATATACTACATCACTGCAATAAATTATAAAATATGGAATCGAATAAATTTGTTATTCAATTTTCGACAATGCTTAAATTCAAGCATCACAACAAATGGGGATACATTTAATAACAAAATGGGTTAGAATTTAACTAAAGATGTTGGTTCAGTCAGCTACTATTCTGTGCAGCCAAGAAATTGAGAAGATTACATGTTTAAAAAGGGTTTTATTATGATTAAAACATTAAGATTATGAATGATAAAATGCTCAATGTTGGAGGAGGAAAGTTTAAAAGTTTTTAGCTTTGACTAGTTACTCTGGTTTTCTCGTTTAAGCCCTTTATACCTACAAACTAGATTGTAAAAGTCAATATGAGATCATATCAAATAAGCATTACAATAATCCAACTATATTGTATAGTTGGATGTGTGTATATATCATGTAAAACTGTAACTAGAGCGTGTAACAAAAGTAATTTCCCTCTGGGATTATTAAAGTGATTCTGATTCAAGTTATTCATCAAATTTGTTTGTAACTATATCAGTTAAATCAGTGTTGGCAACTACCCACCTAACGAAACGAGATTTTAGTTCAAATTTTGCTCTTTTCTTTGTAAAGCACACATGACCATAGGAGTCTTATATAGGCTATGTCTTAGGGCTTATTGTTGAGAAAGTTCTTTGAACTTCACGCAGCTTTTAACTAGATAAACAGCAAGACTGAGGCTAAAGTCAAACTTGTTAGTGAGCTACAACTCTTAGGGAGGAAGCAATTGTTGGCAATGCATATATTCTAGCTTGACACCTTGTTAGAACAGTTTTATAAAGTGTTGTGGATATTTTGTACCTAAATAATAAAAAAAGTTTTTATTTTATTCTAATTTATCATGGAAAAAAAGCAGATATGGAAAAAAAGGGACCAGTTATTGATAAGAAACTGCTTTGGTGATAATAAGTGTCTCTAATTTCTTTCTTTTTTTTTTTTTTTTTTTGCAATTTGTTTTATGAGCTGACATTTTATTAATAATGCCCACCACTACAATAGAGCAGAGGGTTAAAGAACAAGAAATTAAAGATGTAAAAAAGAATGAGGAACACAACTGACACAGAATAACTGCATACTCAGCTGAACAGAGCCCGATTATGAACTTATTTTCCTCCCCAGAGGCATGAACGCGTTTCATCAAGGCCATCCAATAAGGATGGCATGCCATACAGAGTAAAAGGAAATATAAAGCAGCAAAATAAAAGAAACAGCACTCAGTTTTTGCAGCCTAAACGCAATGAGATCAAAATACACACTATTTATGCTTTAAAACTGCATCACTTATTTTCATTATTTTCATTTTGGTGACAGCTGTTCTCTCGTTATTGTATCAGCAGCTTAATAATAAGTTGATTGATGAGCAGGAAGGTTAAAGTGAAAATAGAAAAAAATACATCTACCTATGTTTATCATGTTGTTAAAATTTTCTTTTTTTTTTTTTTTTATTTAGGCCTATTGTATTTTATTAATCTCTATTTTTTGTAGGCCTGCAGTAAATTCTGGGTTTGGTCGCCACATTTCTCAGGTTGTTATCGTTTCTTTGAATGCTGCGTTGATTTAAAATGTCATAGATCTCAGTACAAACTTCGCTGTTGCATCAGTTGTAAATTTTTTTTTTCCTAAAATAAATCCGTCAGTTTCCCTCCGTAAAGCCCGCCGAGCCAGACAGTATAAGCAGATTGAAACATTGTGCCTCCTTTTTATTGACTTTTTCCGTCTGGTTCGCATTAAGTTTTTTCTTTTATAAGCGCTCAAACAAATCGAATACAACGTATAATTAACAGTTCTCAGCTCCCATCCTCCTCATTAAAACACTTCACTTCTTCCATTTCACCCCATCCTGCCAACGACAACATTCCACTGAAAACCAATTCGCCAGCACTGAACGACTCAGTGACTGACTGACTGACTGATTGTGTTATATGAGCTATCAGTCTTTTCTTTTACTTTATTTAATTTTATTAAAACATCCTGCGCACTTTTCCTATTTTGGTTGGCTAAATCGCAAGAGTTGCACTTTCTCAAAAACATATTAAAGATGATAGACCCTTCTCCTTTTAAGTAATTTATTTATGTATGCGTTTATTTGTTAATTATGTCATGTTATCCATCTATTTATTATATAAGGCAAGTGCAGCGAAGGATCTCGCAATGATTCTGGTCTTCTGTGCGTAAATCCTGCCCAAGGACGCAGAGGTGGTTAGTGTAGGCGTAAAAGTGTGTCACTTCTGTGATTTTAAATGAGTTCATAGCTCCAACGAGGTTCATTGGCAACACTTTGAAGACATTGGCTGACAGCAGCACAAGAAGCAACCAACGGCGCGTTAGCTGCAAGAATTTGGTTTCCGCAATTAAAGTGCTGCTCGCAAAGGGAGGTTCCGCAGTAAAACAAGAAGGGGAAAAAATCCAAACCACTTCACAGAGAAGGAAGCGCTCTAATTTTCCTCTTTTTTTTTGTTTTCTTGGGGATTTGCCCACCGTGGCCGGGTTGGATCATTACGAGAGAATAGACAAGTGTTTGATATGTTATGACATCAACACTCTGTTAGATCACCGAGTTCAAACACTGTAGCCAGCCGTTCGATGCCAAGCGGCCCTCTGAAGGGTCCAGCTCAGGGTCAGAGCCGCTGACACATCACATCAGAATCACAAGACAGAGTCTGACACGTCCCCCTCCAATCACATCAGATCCCCATCAGTATTTTACGTTCAAATCCCGCTAAAAAAACGTATTGACTGCAGCTATTGGGGGTGCAAAGGAGGGCAGTGGACATCCCTATAATTTGCTGATCACACCCTCTTTCACAGTTTTATTTATGTCTTTCTTTATTTACTTACTCACTTTCTTTTCAGGTTACCTTCATCTGCGATCCAGTTTTAAACTTTTCACCCACTGCTGCTCCCCAACAACCCTAGGCCTCTACGACAGAACCAGGGCTTAAGGATCCTGTTCCAACTTCTGGGCTGGTGTGGAGCACAAATTTTTCAGTGTGTCTTTTATCTTATTAAAACACCCATATTAGGAACTTTGTGGATTGACCTTAGTTGAAATAAAAATAAATAAATAAAAAATCCTGCCTGGAATAGCAAAAAAAAAAAAAATTAATTTATAGAATAGTTAATAATAGAGAAAGAAATAAAAAAAGGAAAAAAAAAAAAAAAAAAAAAAAAAAAACAATTGATTCTCACGTGCAGAGATGTTTGGAACTGTTTCTGCTGCCTGTGGTGCGCGCCAGTGCGCAGGAGTTCAGTGCGCTTCTAACCAAAGATTTTTTTTTTTTGTTCAAAGATTAACCCTTGTTCCTGCTGTTTGTATATGTGGGAGCATATGTTTGTGCGAATCGAAGGTATCGGTGCAGATCAGACTGTGTTTTTTCTCACAGCTCGCTCCTATCATTTGTTTAACTGACCCAAACACCTGCTGCTCCCGCTCTGCGCCGCCGCTCCTCTGGGCTTATACTGCGCACCGTAACGGTAACAGATTGGATGTTTTAATAAGGGAAGGCTGCGGTTTGGTATGGGGGTTGGACTCTGTTTGAAGGTCTTTTAAAGGAGGAAAAGTGAAGGAAGTAACCACTGATAAATCAACGTGTCCGCAAACCTGTGCGCGGAGAAAATGAAATAAACTGACAGTCTAAAGCGTCGTGAAACACTCCAGTGTTAGTTTAGATTTTCGGCAATCTAACATTTATTTCAATCCCTTCTCTTAAAAACTAGATAAAAATAAAGCATGGCATCTAAACTTATAACTGCAGCGCTTAGAAAGTTAATCAAAATGTTTCTCAAAATTTAAGCGCATTAAAGTGCGTCGCTGCTTTGCTTTTGATTCCGTTAGTGTATGCAAAATAAGTTAGAGCCAATCAGCTGATCTAACACCGTGAACACATCAAAGTGTTGAACTATGCAGCGTTCTTAGAGCAACAGGTTCTTAACTCCACAAACCTTGTTTTTCCCTCCAAGATTTAGTGGTTAATTTGACTCTAAGTTAATTGCCTGAAATAAAAAGTTAATAAGCAAAATAAATCGCCCACTTTCTGATTAATAGAAATGTAAATTTAAGTCTTTACAAATTTCTTAAGCAATGAATAAGATTTGATTCAAATATAAGCGCGTAATAGTGCGCCAGTTCCTTTAGCTTCATTTGGATTGTGCGTAAAAGCAGACCGAGCTGATCTACTCGTTCCTGACCCTAATCTAACCAGGTCGAATAGAATCATATCAGAGCAGATCATGCAAAACTGGGTCCAAAAACCAACCTGTTCCTTTGTCCACAAAACTCGTAATGGTGTTGGCTGATTTTGAGGAGCGGAAAAAACTCGCGTTTAGTCCAAGTTTTTCTGCCGCCGAGTACGTCCTATATATGGAGAGCATGTACTCGTGCGGGACAACAGCGTCCTTTGGGACTTCTTCTTTGTGGCGTCCTGCTGCAGAGTGCGAGGACGCGATAATGTCTTTGAAGAGCTTGGATGACCTTTGTCCGTATGGATGAGAGATCCTGGATTCCCTGTTCCTCCGAGGCGCAGATGGAGAGATGATAGCAGCACACTGGAAGCAAGGTATATTCCCAAACAAAACAAGGAGCAGGCCCAGGTGTATAGCATAGGCTCGATATGCATCCATGGTTGGTTGTGGCGTGGAGTTTTTGTTTTTTTTAACTCCTCTTCTGTAGATGAAGCGCTGGAGCCAGGAGGATGGTGAGCGCGTCAGAGTCGAAGAGCTCCCACCTTTGCGCTCTGCAGTCGCACCAGAAGCAATGCGTTTTTCTCGCTCTGAACTCCACACAAGACTGGAGACTGTTGGGTCGAGAGAAACACGCCCACATGGTGGCTCAATGCAGGGCTTCCTAAACAATTTTCATGTCACAAAGCTCCAAGGAGCCACAGCTGCAGCCAGTGGAGCGTCACAGAAGCCACAGAAATGAATCAGTTCAGTATTTTTCTTTGCAATAAATGGCTCTGGCATCTGCGCATCTAACTTCAACAACATATACATTTTGTTGTTGTTGTTTGTTTCTAAATAACACCAAATAGAAAACATTTATTCTTCCAGAGAGAACGAAAGCCAAACTTGTCCTCGTTCAATAAAGCTGGTTTAAGCTGAAAGCACATCTTATCAGCAGAGGCATGTCTGCGATCCTGTAGAATGAAGGTGTAAGTCCACAGAGTTCAGACTGATCACAAAGTCTCTGAATCCCATCAGATAAGATGTTGCGCGCAGATACAGACAGCAGTTAATCACAAAGAAGGCTGTTACAATGTATAGTGTTTTTTTTTTCTTCTTTTTTACGTCTAGTAACCGGTATAAAAAATGTTGGAATTTATTTGAAAAAAAAAAAAAAAACAACAACAACAAAAAAACAAAGCAAAACCAAACTAAAAAAAATAATAAATCAGATCTAACATCAGTTGTAACGTTATTTATTCTGAGATATTAAAACATGAGACACAGAGGGGTGTCACAGTAAACCAAACCCTTTTCATTGTGACAGTAAGTTCTGAAAGAGTTAGCCACATAATAATAAGCTTTATAGTCGTTACAATTTATTAATTACAAATGGAAGGACTCTAGCGACCTCTAGAGGCTAATATCTTATATCACATAAAAGCTTGGCATCTCAGCTAAATGGTGCAAAGCCAACTTTTAGGAAAGCCTGTACACCCTTAAAAGGGCAACTAAATCTCCCTACTTCTAATTGAGCACGATTTAAAACTGAATTAAAATAAAATGTTGATTAAAACATTTTTATTGGTCTGTCAAATGAAAAAGACTCCAAAGTGAATGCATGTGTTTTCTACAAGATCCTGCTGTGCGGGACTTTGTTGTTATAAGTGAATCTTGAAGTGGTTTAGTCGCTATGATTTGTTTGTCTGAATCTAAGGGAAGCCTTTGCCTCCTGTTAGTTCCCAAGTTCTGCTCTGCTGTCTTCATCTGACAGAGGATAGCGTATAGAATAGAAAAGCCCTTTATTTTCCCACAGTGGGTAAATTCTGGTGTTTACAGCAGAAAAGGGATTATAGAGAAAAAATGGTCTCAAATATAAGCCTTAGAAAAATGTATAAGAATAATGAAGAGTAGTAATAGTGAAGAGTTAAAAGATAAACAATAAAATACTGTACTGTAAAGCGTTTTAACAATATAAATACTGTGCACCTGGAGAATAAATAACCAATGTAGCTATGGACATTTTCACAGTAATGGATATTTGCAAATAGCAGCAATATTAATGATGTGCAAAATGATAGCAGCATGTAATTTATCTGACTAAGGTAGAAACTGTGCAAAATCAGCATGAATGTAACAACTCATTGAGGTTGTTGGGAAAAGTGAAGGAAGGAACTGTGATAACGCCCCCTGGTGCATTTAGGGTGCAGCAGTCTGTCACTGGAGGAGCTCTCTAGTTCTGCAACAGCTTCATGCATGAGGTGGGAGACATTATCCAACAGAGATGTTGATTTAGTTAGGATCCTTTTGTTTCCCACCTGCTGCGTCCAGAGGGCATCCAATCACAGATCTGGCCTAACTGATCAGCTGATCCAACCGCTTTCTCTCAGCTAGAGATTATCCAATGCTCCAACAGACAGCTCCATAGAAGATGGCTGATGCCACAAAAGAGTAATAGGAGGTCTTTATTCTAAATAGTATGAGATCCAAATGTCAGTGAGCCACTTTAACATGAAAAGGGAAAATCTCGATTACTTTCAGTAATTGGTATCCACTTTCCAATCTGTTTGTATGGTTTGACTGGATTATTTTGGTAAAGTGTTTTGAGATGACGTGTGTTGGAAATTGGCACCTTATAAATTGAGTTGAAATTGAAATTTAGATCCATGGAGTTAGGAAACTTTTTGCCCCTACGTACTCATCTAATCTTTTAAGACAAAACGTGTATTGTTTTTCCGTTTGTTAGTTTCTGACATAATAAATGTCACATATAGCAAAAAAAAAAAAAAAAAAAAGTGTTCAAGATTAAGATTAGATAAATATAGCAGATTAAACTAACTCTTTGGTCCAAATTTACATAGTTTACCTTAAAATTAGGAAGGGTAGATTAATTACATTGTCGTTCCCATAATCAGACTTCTAATACCAGAAATTGTTATTCAACACCAACAGCATTTAATCATAGAATTGGATCCTAGTTGTAGAGTTTTTATATTTACTTCTTCCTCACAACTCATGAAATGGAGCTTATTTCCCAGTTAGCAAAATATATTGAAGCAAATTTAGCAAATAATTAACAGCTCACACTGAATACTAATTGTCTTTAATGTTTCACAGTGTGATCATTCAGCTGGTAAAGAAGATTTATAAATAATACTTTTAACCCTTTTCTATTCACTACTTCTTGGACAAAAATAGATATTCAAGGAATAACTCAGCATCAACTGCTGATGTAAAAGGAATTTGAAGAATGGCCTCTGAAGAAGGCAAAAACACACAAAAACATTACATGTTCTGCCTGTTTGATAAGAACTGAAATATGAACTACTGCAATCTTCTTTTTTTTACCTGTCTATGCTGAAATGTACGAGCTGACCTTCAATATGAGACATAGGGCCGGATTTATCAAGATCCAATTTTGCGAAAACTGGAATTTTGCGCGAGGGGCTGAACCATGGTTTGCGGGTGATTTAACAAGAGCGATTGCGTAACTGGTGGCAGGAGCAAAACTGTTGGAGACGCCCTATTGAAATGATGGTTTTGCGCGTTTTGTGGTTTGCGGCATGGCGAGTTTGGACAGCAGAAGGCGCAAAAGGAAATTCGACCCCATGGAAATGGAGGTGTTGGTGGATGAAGCCAACAAACATTTAAGTGAGCTACAGCAAAGAAGTGTGACTGTCACACAGAGGAACGCTATATGTGAACAAATCTGTAATAAAGTAAACGCTGTTGGTGAAACCTTGCGAACAGTGGATGAAGTAAAAAGAAGATACCAGGATTTTAGAAGGCGAACCAAAGAAAAACTGGCATATAACAAAACATCTGAGAACAAAAGAGGAGGGGGCACAGTAGATGAGATGTCTCTGACCAGGAACAAGTAGGCTACAGGTGACGCTCTGTGAGGAGCAAATCACTGGAATTGCAGCTCCAAAATGGCAATACTAGATAAACGATATGTTTTGATGATCGTTTCCTCGTTCATTCCAAAAATATTCACACGGAGTGAAAAAATGCGTTCTCTGCGTCTCCTTGCTTCATTTCGATGTCTCCTTCTAGCGACAATAACCGCTGCCATGTGTGCGCAATTACGCATACAGACCATTTGCACCTTCTTTTGAAACGTGTTAAATATAGAGTCAGATACCGTTAGCAAAATTGCTTTCAGGTTTGATAAATCACTTTGCGAGTGCTAAATTAATATATTTACATGTTCTCCTCCTACAAGACGCACTTTTGCGTGTAAACGCCCCATATTGCATATTCATTGCAGAAAAAGTACTAAATGGATAAGAGGCGCTATAGCACGTTTTAAAGACCAAATCCTTTTAGCACGCTGTTGATAGATCAGTTTGTACATTTTTTAGCGTGCGCAGTGAAATAGCTCACGTTTTTATACACGCAAACCTTTGATAGATCCGGTGTAGGTACCAGATTGACTCGGGCTGCCAGATTGACTCGGGGGCCTGCGCCTTTTGAGATGCGTCAGAGCGTCCGCCATCTTAAATGTGGCAAATCTGCAGTTTCTCAGTCACTTAAACAGTATCAGAGGGACTTTAATCTCTGAATATACTTTGTATTCGTAGTATTTTTGGTTTTGTAATATTACAAGTTTATTTTTTGTATCCCTTTAGCTTCATTCTCCTGAATTTATTCTCGTTACAAATGCAGACCGCGGGCTCAATGTAGTTTGTTTGAGTGGCATTGCCATAATGTCACGTCATCGGGAGGCGCAAGGCCCATGGCGAATTCGATGACGTCATCAGAAGGCGCAGGGACCATGGAGAATGTCTTCGTAAAATTGTCCGTTTACAAACAGCAATCCCGCTTTCGAATAAAACCTACACCCCGCTATAATTACTTTAGTAAGCTGTCCAGACCAATCAAAATGTTTTGCGCAATTGTGCAAACGTTAAAACAATTATGTATTGTGACGTCATCAAAAGGCGCAGGCCCCCGAGTCAATCTGGCAGCCCGAGTCAATCTGGTACCTACACCGGCCCATAGGCAGGAAAAGCCAAAGTCAGCTACTTCAACTTCCTGATGATGTCTGCCTTCACATCAGTGTGTACAAATCTGTGGCTTTTTATTACAACTAGGGTTGCATCAGCCCAAAGGCGGATCAGATACGGAAACATTTTGAAATATTTTACTGGATGTTTGTTTTTAAATCTCACATCAATTATTGTGTTACAAACTGAACCTTAAGGCCAGGGAGGGGGATTAGGCAATACCAGGCACTTGCCTTGGGCCCCACGTTCCTGCAGAACCCATAAAACCCTGTTTACATGTGTGGTTAATACAACTATTCCTTATTTGTGCACATTAATTATGTTTTTGATAAAAATCATTTTGCTAAAAGTGTCCACCACATTGGATCAGTCCATTTGCTGCACATGTTCAGAAAGGTCCAAACAGACAGCAGCAAACCATTTGAAAATAAATGATGCAAAGAGCAGTCTTGCCAACCTAACACTTTTGTTTTAGATTGGCAAGACTTTTCAGACCCCTCTAGCACTTTTATTTCAAAAAGCGCCCAAATCTAGCTACTGGAGACTTTTGCGACAGCATATAAAAGCACCAATAACTGCTCTCCAGAGCAAGTAGATTTGCTCTCCTTTCTTGTCTGCTGTCATGATTCATGCAGACATTATTTCAGACAAATGAAAAATGGAGAAATGATAAGCAGTTCATGGCTTCTCTGCAGTGAAAAAAAAGGCTCTTTAATTTACTGTTTCCATTGCCTTTTTTTGGAAACACAGGAAGGAGCAATCAGCTAAGCGAGCTTAGTGTTTGCAA